GCTGCCTCCAAGAGACGCTGTGTAAATCCATAAAACACACCCTCACCTCGCCCCCTCCTCTGAGAGAAAGAAAGGACTCCCTGGAGTGGCCAGGGAATAGTGCATCGGCTCAGGCTCAGATTAAATCCTTGGTTAAAGACCCTTGAAGTCCGCCTGAGGGAAGAAGAGGAGTCCAGAGAGAAACTCCCATCTTCCTAAAGCTTAAATCAGAAAGTTTCCAGAAACCCTCAGCATCACAGAGCAGTGGGGAACAGAGTGGAAAGAGTAGGCCCCTCAGCAGGACGTAAAAGCTGAAGAGGGGCTGGAGAGAGCAAGATCGGGGTTCTAGGGGAGGGTGTCAGAGGAGCCCTCCACCCTGGGGCCCGAGCTTTTGGTACTTGAGAGTTTAAGCAGGTGGGGTGTGGTAGATAACTCTGGGGCTTGGCTACCCTCCCCCTGCCTTGGGCCTCTGTCCTCCCCACATGTGCCCCTTGTTAATCTCCTCGTGGTTTTTGCTGTGTTGCTTGTAGTAGGGCACCTGAGCAGCACGCCGCCCTTCCCCACAACAGCGTCTCTCCAAAAGCAGGTGCACAGAGCCCTCTCGACCAAAGCAGTCCTGTCTTCTGGGAGGTTACGCCCTGCTCCCCTTCCCCATTCCCTCAAACCCTCTTTCCAGCCAGTGCACAAACCACTTTTATGAGTTAGCACCATAAACACGAGTGTGATGGCCTCCTGCCTCCGATGCCTTTACTGCTCCCTGATAGAAACCTGAAGGCAACCCCTTGCACAATCTGGGTCCTGCTAGTTCCATCCCTAGGGATTCACATCCTTTTCTCCCCCTCCCCCCATAGGAGGGCTTCCCAGAGCCTCTGTGCTTACCCAAATCCAACACACATTTGCTGCACAGCGAGTAGACACCTCTACGGGGGGGGGGGGATGACTTAGCTTTATCTAGGCAAGGCTGGAGCAGCCGGGAGGGACTGAGGAGTTACTGCTGGGAGGCTCAGGGAGCTGCCCACTCCAGGCCTGGTGGTGAGATTTTGAGCTCCGTCTAAGCAGCAGTCTGAGTTCAGAAAGCACAGAGCTGTCTCCCCTGCCTTCCTCCTAGCTTCCCACTCTCAGGTACTTGGCTAGTGGCCTCTGGGAAATGGGACTCCAGAGGCACTTTGCCCTAGTGTTTAGGGTTTGTAGGCTCCCACAACCAAACAGGCTCGGTTCTGGCTCTGCCATTCTTCCCAACCCATAGAGGGTCAGGGGGACCTTGCAGAACTCTGGAGATGGGAGACCTCTTTCTAGCCCAGCTGAGCAGCAACCAGGTGAAAGGAAGGCTGCAGAGAGGAGGCCTGGTCTAGGCAGATAAGGTCCTTCATCTTCCTACTTCTCAGGAGCCTCCCTTCTTCTCCCACCCGGGCCTGAGGAAGTCTGGGGAGGCCTTTCTCTTTTTCCCCTTAATGAGTGAGAATCGTCTTCTTTCAAGTCGGGGAGGGAGTTAAGTAAATGGGAGAAAAGGTCTGAAGGAGAGAAGGGGGTAGAGAATTAACTTACAGCGATCGCCTGGGATTCATTTGCGAAGATGTAACCTCTCTCACCACCATCCCCAGCGCCGTAATCCCCTCTAACTGCCAGGCCCTCTGTCCTAGCGTTAAACCTCACCAGCAGCTGCATGGCTGGACAGTTAAGATTATATATGATGTAAATACATTGTGGGTTTGTCAGCTCTCCCTACACCATAAAACTTGGTTTAATGACATCACGTGGTCCCCCAAGAGCCACTCACGGGCTTGCCTTCAGGCCATTCACATAAATAACCTCCAAAAGTTTCAAACTTCTAAATTCACATAGAACCTTTTCCTATTTCTCTAATGCTCAGTTACACTAAAAAGCTGCTCCCTTGCCCCTCTCGCACCCCCTTGCAGGGTGGGGAGGGGGGATAAGGTGGATCCTTATTTATTTATTTACTTATTTCTATAAGGACCTGATGACTTCGAGGTCGTGTTGATATTTTTCTTCCTATTTTTCTCCTCTAATTGCTCAGAGTGGGCCGTGTCCCCTCTTCCCACTCCCCCGGAAGGTAAGTCATGATTCTTCCCCCTTTTTCCTGCTGCCAGAGTGGGTGGGTCGAGGGCATCTGGGGGGACGGGCTCGGCTCTACCATCATGGTTTGGGACCCAGGAGTCCTTCCACCTACTCTTCCCAGAGAAATGCTAAGCCCTGGAACTTGAAAGTCTGTCCAGGGGCAGCTTGGTGGGGCAAATCCTGAGCAGAAGTTTCTGGTCAGAAAGGAAGTGACCGTCTAGGCCTCACCAGCCCCCAGTGCAGGGAGGTCTGAAGCCTCTGGCTTTGTGTCTCCTGCTTCTGTCGCCTCTGTAGATACCCGCTGCAGCTGTGGCTGGACAAGGGCTCAAGGCTGTGATAGAAAAGAAAGCTGGTAGACAGCCCCCCCCCAAGCCTGGGCAAGCTAAGGCACTCCTTCAGCTGCGCCTCCAGCGAAAAGGAGGTTCAGGCCTGCGGACAGAGGCAAACAATTCCCAGAGGGCTGGTGAACCTTGCCAGGTCTGACCAGTATCACCCTAGTCACTCCCCATCAAGGCCTTGCTTCACCAAGCCCTGATGTGTCCCCCGGGGGAGGACGCACAGGGCCTCCTGAAGCCAGGGAGGTGAGTGTGGGTGCCATAGCTGCTTCCTTACTTAACTGGTACCCATCCAAGCCACCAGGGCTCCTTCATGCTTCAGTGCTCACACAATAGTTTTACTCAGCATGTAAAAAGATTAAAATAACTCCCTGAAGAAGAAAATCACATATTTTATTTCTGTGTGTGCGTGTGTGTGTGTGTGTGTGTGTGTGTGTGTGTGTGTAGGAAGGGAAGGAGGAGGGAGGGGGGGAGGGAGGGAGAGAGTTGGTTAGGACTGGGCTACCTGCCTGAAGGATGCGTGTTGAGGGCAACTTTAGCGGTGCCCTCGCCTGCCTGAGCACAGGGGGAAAAGTGGTGAGAGACACAGGTCCACAAACACTTGCTGAGGCCTCCTACACGATAAGCATGGGATGAGGACAAGCTCTTGGGTCTTCTAAAAATGACAGACACAGCAGCTTAGACACTGAGATGCAGTGTCCTTTAATAAATCCACGGAGCATAAGCATTGATAAGCATAAAAATAAATCTCCCTGCCCCTCCCCAGAGCCACTGTGTCCCAGTGAAAAGCAGCCCTTAGCTCAATTGCAGATCTGCACAGTATATGGGGGTTGGGGGTTGGGGAGATTTAGGCTTGACTCCAGGAAATCACCCCATTGTAGGAGGCTGGAGTGGAAATGCAGTAAAGTTTTATGGAGCCTTCCCACATTTGTTTCTCCTGTAAAGTACTTCCTCCTCTAGGGCATCCCAGGACAGAGGGGAGCTGGGCAGAGCATGTGCCCAGGCCACCCGAGTTAGCTGCGCCCCCTCCCTGATAGGCCACCCTCCCCCTTCATACAAAATCTCAGAGACTGTGATAAATGATGGCAAACAGACATGACTCTGGTCTAGGCAGCTCTTATTCCAGTTAACTGTCCTTTACTTGGACCCTAGGAGCCGGGAGCAGCCTGTGTTTTCTCTAAGGCCAGCACACGCGGCAGTATGCCCTCGCCTCTCCAGCCCTCCTTGCCCTATCCCACAGCAAGGAAAGCTGAAGCAAAGCTCAAACCTGGCCACCTCCCCTCACCCCACACCTCTTTACCTAGTAGCACCTACTATTTCTGGAAGTCCTTCTGGGAGTCAAACACAACCGTAGACTGAGGGCTCAGCCTTTCTTCTTTGTCCAGAAGCGACCCTCAGGGGTGACCAAGACTCAGTAGAGCCCTTGAGGGCCAGAGGGGCCTGAGACAAGCCAGTGGAGCCACGAGTTCCCATTCCTGGAATAACCATAGACTACAAATTCAGTCCAGCAGCCTCAAGCCTAGAAAAGTCTGGGTGCCTTAGATAATCAGGGCACGGGAAACGCCAGTACAGGGGCCCTCAAGGCTTCTCCCCTTCACCCCAGAGCCCCTTCTTGGAACCATAAATCGAGAAAGGAATTCAGTTACATTCCCCCCTTCTTGATGCTCCTTTTCAAAGGGAAGGCTTAACGAGTGGGCCTCCCACACACCTTGGAGCCTACTTAGACACATCCCTGCTCAACGCGTGCCCTAGACAGACAGAAGTTGCTGCATCTTTAGCCCTGCTCTTTCTTCACCTTTATTTGATATGACAAAATATAGTTTCAGGAAGGACCTGGAGTCAATAAATAGTGGGGCGACTGCAATGGGGCAGGAAAGTGAGAGTGTGGCAAGATACAGGAAAAAGCCTCAAGAACCGTTTGCTGGGGTCCAAAGGCAAGAGACCCAAGAGTTGAGCTAGCTAGCAGGCTGGGACCATGAACCTGAGAGTGCATGCAGCAGGCCAGGCTGGGGAGGTTCCGGGCTGTGGGGAGGAGGTTAGAAGGTTGGGAGGGCCACGGGCCCACTTTCGGCTCCGTCTTTCATATGCAAATCATTAGTAAGTAAAGATGAGTTTAGAAGCTATAAAGGTTGGTTGCTATAGGAAAGCACCCCAAGTCTGCTCATAGCCACTGTCCGGCACTGCCAGCCTTCAGCGGCCTGGCCAGCCTAGGCAGGAACAAAGAAGAGGGTGAAGAGGTGTAACGAAGGGGTTAGGGCCGGGCTGTCTCACCTTAACTCAGGCTGGCCGAGCTAGGGCTGGAGGCGCGGCCCAGGACGAGGCTTAGCCGGCTCCGACGGCCAGTAGTGCGCCGCGGCCCTGCGGCCAAACCCTGCAAGGGTGTGCCCGGGCCTGGTGCTCAGCTGAGTTGAGGCGAGACAGGCTGTGAAGGCGGCCCTGTGGAACCCTGGGTCGACGGGGATTCGGAATGCCAAGGAAATGCGCTTTTGTCTGGGAGGCCCGGAGCCAGCGCTCCAGCCTCCGCCCCAAAATCTAGAACAAGGAAAACCGAAAAGGAAGGGCGCAGGGACCAAAGCCGGCTGGGGTGCTTCCGCGCGCTCCCTGCTGCCTCTAAAGAGCCTCTTTGCTCTTCATTTTGGAATCTTTCTTCCACTTCATCCTGCGGTTCTGGAACCAGATCTTGATCTGTCTCTCGTTGAGACACAAGTTGTTGGCAATCTCTATGCGCCTGCGGCGGGTGAGGTAGCGGTTAAAGTGGAATTCTTTCTCCAGCTCCAGGGTCTGGTAGCGCGTGTAACTGGTTCGGGACCGCTTGCCATCCGTTTCTGGAACATAAATCCCCCCCAAGCCAGGGAGGGGTGAATAGCGTGCAGCACCCCAGCGTCCCACCCCAGTCCCAGCCCCCACCCGTGGTCGGAGGGAGTGGAGGTGAGCGCGGTGGGACAGGTCAGAGGGGCCGCCAGGCGGGCAGGCCTCCCCGGTGAAGCGCCTCCGCCCGGGCAGTAAACTTTCCACCGCCGCCTTCACTCTGCGGCCGGAGGGGCTGAGGGGGGATGGGGGGAAGAGGGAGACCCAGGCTCGGACCGAACAATAAGCACCCTCGAGATCCGAGCACCGGGGACCCCCCTCCCGCCCCTCCCGAGTCGCTGGAATCCTCCGGAGCCGCGATCCCGGCCGAGCCGGCTCCGCAGGGAGGGAGGGCCCGCGGGGGACCCCACTCTGGAGCCCCTCGCTCCTCACCCTTCAGATCCCTCTATTTTTTTAACTCCCTCCCTCTCCCCCAAAAATTGAATATTGCCTTTTATACACGTTTTGTTCCTATGATCCAATTATGTCGTCGTAAATTTGGGCGCACACAGCCTCTAAGCCTTTTAGTGGACAGTTTTACGAGCCATTGATGCCTGGATCGTAAAATTTATGGCCGCAGGTTTTTTTTCTTTATTTGCCCCGCATGGCCTATAAAACCCAGGCGGACCCGAGCGCGCAAAATGAAGTCCTAAAGTTTACCGTGGCTCATGTGTAGTTTGGTCATCCACGGGTAAATCTGTGGCGGGGCCGGCGGCTGGCTGAGTCCGGAGGGCTGCCCTGTCTGCGCCTCCGCTTTGATCTCCCCACTGCTCTTAGCTCGCTCCTCCAGCGCCGGGCGAGCCGCCTTCTGGCTGTACATCCCGGGGTTCAGAGGAGCTGCTTCATCTCTGCCCAGAGCGTGTCCCGGAGCGGCCGCGGCGCTGCAGGCGGGGCGGTCGGGGTGAGCCCGGGGGTTGGCAGCCATGTCTACCCCGTGGAGAGAGTTGGAAGGCGCCGGCGGTGGGAAAGTGACGCTTAGGTCCAATCCGCCGTAGCAGTACCTGGACGCCTGCACCTCTGAGGCCGATCCATAGTTCCCACAAGTTTGCATGTTATAGTCAGGGATATTGGGGCTCTGCTTATAGAATGAATTGGCTACGTAGGAGCTCATGGCGGGGAGGGCCCAAAAAAAATTCTGCACCCTTTTTGATTAAGGGTGATTTGTGACTCTTTGAAGTTGAGGGGTTTTTTGTTCTCCAAAGTGCACAATTTATAGGTGGAGATATCTCTTTCTTTATCCTATGCGCTCTTCCCAAATAAGGGAGCCTTAAATAGAGTCACGTGACTGGAGCGGCCACTCATAAATTTGGCTTGATGACCTCCGGGAGGTTAGTGATGGAAGCCGGCGAAACGCATCTTGATATGTTGGCAAAGCCCAACGCGGGAGGGGGGGGGTGGGGTGGTGAGACAGAGAAGCAAGGGGGAGAAAAAAAAATGGTTCGGAATGGGGGGTAGTCGGGACGACGAGCTCACAGCGACATCTGGTGCCGACTTGGCAGAATTGCATCCCGAGGCGTTGCTTGGCCTTGTGGCCGCTGGATGGTGGAGAAGTTGCTTGTTGGACAGACTGAGCCCCTTGAGCTGGTCTTTGAAAAGATGAGGTCTTGTTAGGGTGCGCACGCGCAGTTCCAGATCTTTCCAAACCTCGGAGACGACTGAGGTCGAGGCCGCCCAAGCCCAGGGTAGAGAACTGAGAGGTCTTGTCTTGCTTCCCTAAACTACAGGTCAAAGCCTCTTGCTTGGGAGCACTGGACCCAGTTCCGCCGAAGAGGAGCTCGGGAAAATTAACGCACCCTCTGGGAGGGGAGACAGGAGGTCCCCGAGTGAGCAGAAGCAGGCGGTCCCCAGGCTGGAGGGGTCCCCAGGCTGAGTCCTAGGGGCTCCCTGGGATGTGACTGAAGAAGGGGCCAGGCAGGCTTGGGCAGACCTCAGGATGTTGGGAACGCTAGAGCAGCAGGAGGCAACCTCCCAGTGCGGAAGCAGACACATGGGTGACCCTCGCTCGCGGAGTTCAGAGGCCAGATATTTCAGGCTGCAAAGAGCTGACCCCCAAGAGCGTGGAGGGGCGACACTGAAGCCTCCACACACATGATGTGCGAGGCAGAGAAAAAGGTCTGCTTGCACTCTTTGGGGGGGGTAGGCCCTTAGTCAGGGCTTCCCCTCAAGCTAGAAGGTCCACGGGGAGGGGGCTGGGCAGGCCAGGCGCCTGGCCAACCCAGACAGTCTTTGGCCAGGGTCTCTTCAACCTTTGGGATTCCCCCTTGCTTTCTTAGTCCCAAATCCTACTCTTCGCTGCCTGCTTTTCCCCAAGACCTCTCCGCCTCTGCCAGAGCCCCCTCTCCGCTGGCGGAGGCTGGGGGGGGGGGGCAGAGACCTGGAGAGTTTGCAAAACTCTGGCGATTTTTCCCTCCGGGAGACCTCCCACCCCGCCTCTCCCCTAGGCCCACTCAGGTTTCTCTGCCGAGGCTTGGGGGAAGTAGGCTGGAGTCAAGGAACCGGCTAGGGTCCTGTTGAGCCCTTCCTGCACCAGGTTGGAGGAGAGAAGAGACAGGAACCCACAGGCTGGGGCTGTAAGGAAGAAATTATTTTGTCTGGCGGGCCAGGAGTCCCAGTACAGGCCAGAACTCAGTTTCCAGTCTTTCTCTTTCGAGACGTCCTTGGATCGCTCAGTTTCTGCGGACTGAATCCCGCCGTCCTCCCGTTGCCAGGGCGCCTCAGCCACGTTTCGCAGCGGCCAGCCTGGCGGGCTGGGGGCTTGCTCGCTGGTCCTCTTTCTCCCCGAGCTGCTGGCAGTGGCGTAGGGCGGCCCAGGTGCTCGCATCAGGCTCCTTTGCTCCAATTTTGGGCTCAGGGCTCAGAAGCCGAAGCTCCCAGGCTCCAGGCAGGAAGAAAGGCCCGCGTGGGGCTGGGAGCCCAGCAGGGCTCGCTGCAGCTTCCCCGCCCCCGAGAGAGCTCAGGCGGCCGCCTCTCTGGCGATTCTTTCCCTTCTTTCCCGGGTGTGTGTTGCTCCGCGGAGGGAGGGTCTGAGGCCTCCCAGAGCCCCGCCGCGGCCCGGAGAGCACCGGACTGAGGCTCGGCGCCTTGCTGCCGGGCGAGCGAGGGCCAGGCCACGGGGAGCCCTGCTGGCTGGCCCGCCACAGGGAGAATGAACAGGCAGGCGGATTATAAACTTTTAAAAATAATATCAGTTTTATTAAATATTCGAGAACGGATCCAGAGGTCGGATTTACACAGGAGGATAACACGAGGGGGTATTTCTTTATTTACTTTCTCCTACTGACTAAACAAACGTCATTCACTTTTTTCTTTATGTTATTTTCCCTCTTTTTTTAAAATCCTTTTTAAAATGAGATCGGAACACTGACGGTGCTAACATAAATATAAATACAGAGACCACAAATACAGCTAGAAATATTCACACAGAAACGGTCACAGCTCGTAATATGCCATAATGACCCCTAGGAATCTTTAAATACACTTTGCGTGGACTGGGCGTTTGCTGGGGCAGAGGGGCCGGGTAGGGACTGGGGAGAGGCCCTAGGGGTTGTTGCGGGGGGCCAAGGCGCGTCCTCCTGAGGCCTCCCGCCCGCGGCTGCCAGGCAGGGCCCTGAGGCCCCGGAGTGGAGGCCCCAGGCCCGGAGCCTGCTCTCCGCTGCGCAGGGGGGAGGAGCGGGCTGGGTGAAAGGCGACGGAGGGGTGGGGAGAGAGCCTAGGGCTCACTTGGAGGGACATCAGTGGAGCCTGAAGCGAGGTTCAGGGACCTGGTCCCCAGGGCCTGGTGGAGGGAAGGGGCCTGCAGACAAGCCAGGAAGGAGATAGCAAAGCGAGCTAGAGTTGTGCAGTGAGGGGGGTCCAGAGCTGGCTCTCAGGCCCGCCTCTGATCCCGATTTTCTTCTAGGAAGTCACAACACATCAATGTGTGCCAGTGATAAATGCAGAGTGTGTGATTTGGGGAGCTGGGGTGAGCAAGGGTGGAGAGAGGGGTGCAAGGGCAGTCCTGGTCACTCTTTCTGCTTCTCCTCTTCTGTCTCTTCCCGCTTTTCCTCCTTCCCTCCCAGGCTGTCGGCCGCTGCCCCTCCGCCGCCCCCCGAGAGCGTGGACGTGAGATTAGATTCTTTTTTCCACTTCATCCGGCGGTTCTGGAACCAGATTTTGATCTGTCGCTCGGTGAGGCACAGAGCATTGGCGATTTCGATGCGCCGGCGCCGAGTTAGGTAGCGGTTGAAGTGAAATTCCTTCTCCAGCTCCAGGGTCTGGTAGCGAGAGTAGATCTGGCGGCCGCGCCTCCGGTCCGCTCCGTAACCGACCCCTAGAGATCCAGGCACAAAACACACTAAAAACAATCAGCAACATCTGTCTCGCAAAGTCCAGACCCTCTCAACTTCGCGCTCGAGCCTTCTTTCCTTTCGCTCTGCCCCACCCCCACTGGGGGTACAGCCAGAACCCCAACTTCATTCAGTTATCCCACAAGGTGGGAGATGAGTCCCAAAGAAAGCTGGGGGCGGGGCAAAAAATCAGACAGAAAGCTGGCTGTCTAAAAGCTGATTAAAAATATATATAAAGATACACATCCCAACTACTGGGGTTAAGGGCCCCGTCTCTCAGGGCCTGGGCTCCCCACCTTCCCCAATAGCCCAGCTTCCTGGAAAGTTCTCCCCACTTTTTTGTCGTCTCCTAACTCCCTCCCTTCTCTCCGGCCTAACTAGACTTCGGGGGGCTCCCTCACCTTCTGTCCCCTCCCCTCATCCCCTGCCCTGTTCCTGCCCCCTTAGCTTTTCTTGGAACCCTCCAATCCGTCAGGGACCGAGGGGGCCAGGCCCCTCCGCGCCAGCGCGGGAGGCGAACAGAGGGGGCTGAAGAGGGGGCCCTGTCTCGGTGTCGGCGAGGAGACGAGCGTGATTGTTTTTATGGGGCCATAAAAAACTCTCTCCGCCCGTTCTTCTAGGGAAGCCGGTCATAAAGCCAGTTCAGTTTATTTAATTTATATCTCGGAGCTGTAAAACTCACCACTGTGCGAATTCATTCGCTGCATCCAGGGGTAAATCTGGATACTGGCTTTCTGGTCCTGGGGCGCAGTCCTGCCCTGCTCAGAACTAAAATCCTGAGCGATTGAGGTCTGTGTGTTATGTCCTAAGGTGTTTTGTCTGCAGTTTGAGAGCATGTCTTTCTCCTGGTAAAAGGAATTAGATCCATAGTCATACGGCCCCCGGCTGGAGCTGAACACGACATTCTCCTGTGGCGAATAAAAGGGAGTCGAGTAGATCCGGTTCTGAGCTACGGCTGCTCCATAGGTCGAGAAATGCCTCACTGGATCGTAGGCGGTGGAATTGAGGGCGACGTTGGGGAGGACGTCCTGGCCCCCGGCGAGGTGGCAGGACAAGGAAGGGTTTGTGAAGTAAGAATTCATCCCTTTGCCTTTACCTGGTCGGGCTATGATTTCTTTAATATTTATTTCTGTCTCCAGTTTGTACTCGGAACTAGATGGTTATAGGGACGGCTCCAATCCAGGACAGACAAAATGACAAAGTCAGCTGACCCCCTTCCAGCCAATCACAAGCCAGATGTCAAGAAGGGGGAAAAAAAATCGCTTCTGCTTCTGTTGATTCCCTAGTTGAGACTAAGTGTGTGCTTTGGAAGTAAGACTTGAATTTCTTTTAAGAATACATATATGTATATATGTATGTATACACACACACAGACATATATACATATATACATGAACCGGTTGGGGGCGGGGCATGCAGGTCCCTGAGCAGGGCCTTGTTCCCTGCGGAAGGAAAGGTCTAGTCCCAGGAAATCTCTCCGCCCCAGCTAACTTTGCTGTGTTGTGGCTAAAGACCGGGCAGAGAAATGCTTGTGTTTCCAGTCTAATTTCATCGTTTGTGTCTGCCCTTTTTCTAAAATTAAATCCTGGTTGCTTCATTTGAGGAGATCCTCCCCAGTGGAAGGAAGTTCCCAGAAATTCTAGAAGACATTACGATTTGACAGCCATGAACTGAGTTCCCACCACTAGACAGCATATTTTCCCAATAATTAAAAAAAAAAAAAAAAGAAAAGGAAAAGGAAATTTCCTGAAGCACGGAGGAAGGCCGAGTGCTGAGTGTCAGGGGA